AGGATTGCCCAACCTTCCTTCCGAGGAGTGGCTGGTGGAGAGATTGAATAAGTGTGGTGAAAAGATACAACCCTGACACATTCTCTTCCTGATTTTAAATCATGCAGTATCCCCTTGTTCTATTCCAATGACAGCCTCCTGGTCTATGTACAGGTTCCTCATGAGTACAATTAAGTGTTCTGGAATTCCCATTCTTCTTAATGTTATCCATAATTTGTTATGATCCACAAAATTGAATGCTTTTGCACAGTCAATAAAACACAAGTAAATATCTTTCTGGTATTTGCTTTCATCCAAGATCCATCTGACATCAGAAATGATAACCCTCATTTCACATCCTCTTCTGAATCCAGCTTGCATTTCTGGAAGTTCTCAGTCAGTACAGTGCTGCAACTATTTTTGAATTATCTTCAGCAAGATTTTACTTGCATGTAATATTAATGATATTGTTTGATAATTGCCACATTCTGTAAGATCCCTTTTCTTTGGAATGGGTACAAATATGGATCTCTTCCAGTCAATTGGCCAGGTATCTGTCTTCCAAATTTCTTGGTATAGACGAGTAAGTGCCTCCAGTGCGGCCTCCATTTGTTGAAACTTCTCAATGGGCATTTCATCAATTACTGGAGCCTTGTTTTCACCAATTCCTCCATTGTAGCTTTAACTTCTTCCTTTAGTGCCATTGGCTCTTGATCATATGCCACCTCCTGAAACAGATGAGCGTTGACCAGTTCTTTTTGGTAGAGTGGCTCTGTGTATTCCTTTTGTCTTCTTTTGATGTTTCCTGCATCATTCAATTTTCCTGCATCATTCAATATTTTGCCCATAGAATCTTTCAATATTGCAACTCAAGGCTTGAATTTTTTCTTCAGTTCTTTCAGCTAGAGAAATAGCAAGTGCATTCTTCCCTTTTGGTTTTCTAACTGCAGGTCTTTGCACATTTTATTATAATTGACTTTGTCTACTCGAGCTGCTCTTGTCAGAGTCTCTTCTGACATCCATCTTTGTCTCTTCTTCCTTCCTTGTGTTTCTAATGACCTTTTGCTTTCTTCATGTATGATGTTCATAATGTCATCCATCCCACAATTCCTCTGGTTTTCAGTCATTAGTGTTCAGTGCATCAAATTTGTTCTTCAGATGGTCTCTAAATTCAGTTGGAATATTCTCAAGGTCATGTTTTGGCTCTCATGGACTTGTTTTAATTTTCTTCAGCTTCAACTTGAACCTGTTCATGAGCTATTGATTGTCTGTTTCACAGTCCACCCCTGCCTTGTTTTGGCTAAAGATATTGAGCTTCTCCTTTGCGTCTTTCCACAGTTGTAATCGATCTGATTCCTCCCTCTGGTGAGGTCCACATGTATAGCCACCATTATTGTGGTTGAAAAAAACGGTGTTTGCAATGAATAAGTCGTTGGTCTTACAAAATTCTATCATGTAATCTCTAGCATCATTTCTATCGCCAAGGCCATATTTTCCAACTGATCATGATTCTTCTTTGTTTCTAATTTTTGTATTACAATCACCAGAAATAATCAATACATCTTGATCAGATGTATGGTCAATTTCAGTTTGCAGAAACTGGTAAAAATCTTCCGTTTCCTCATCTTTGGCTTTGGTGATTTGTGCAAAAATTTGATTAACTGGCCTTCCTTGTAGGTGTATAGATATTTTTCTGTCACCGACAGCATTGTATTTCAGGATAGATCTTGAAACAGTCTTTGTGATGATGAATGCCATGCCATTCCTCTTCAATTTGTCATTCCCAGCATAGTAGGTACATGGTTGTCTGAGTCAGAATGGCTAATACCAGTGTACTTCAGCTCATTAATGCCTAGGATATTGATCTTTATGTGTTCCATTTCATTTTCCAATTTTCCTAGATTCATACTTTTTCCATTCCATGCTCCAGTTATGAATGGATGTTGGCAGCTGCTTCTTCCCATTTTGAGTCATGCCTCATCAGCAAATGGAGGTCCCAAAAGCTTTATTCCATCCACGTCATTAAGGTCGACTCTACTCTGAGGAGGCAGCTCTTTCCAAGTCATATTTTGAGTGCCTTCCAACCTGAGGGGCTCATCTTCTGGCACTGTATTAGACAATGTTTCAGGGCTATTCATATATTTTTCCAGTAATATACCAGACAGTGTTTCACTGTTATTCATAAGGTGTTCATTGGCCAATTCTTTGAGAAGTGGATGACCCCTTCCTTCTCCCAAGTCTGTCTTAGTCTGGAAGCTGCACTGAAAACTGTCCAGCAGGGGTGATCCTGCTGGTATTTGAAATATAGTGACATAGCCTCCATCCTCACAGCAACACACAAACCACCACAGTATGACAAACTGACAGACGAGTGGTAGAAGTAGGGTGTAGAACAATTAAGCTGGATGTCCCCCAAGACCATGGTCCTGAGCCTGCAGACCCAGTGACTCACTCACTTAAGGTGCATGATTGTGGCTAGGACGCTATCCAACCTTGTCCCCTATTAGTTCTACAATGTATATGGATATTTGTATAGCACAAATTATTGTTTTGTTGTTGTTGTTGTTATGTGCCGTGGAGTGGGACCCGACTCATAGTGACCCCAGCACAAATACACATGTAAAAATACCATCAGCCAAATCTATCTAAGGTAGCAGGTATATTCCCATTCACTGACCCCACATGATCTTCTCACCTGTCTCTGTATCCACCTGTAGACTAGTGTTTCTTGTTACTGATAATGCACTACTGTGTGTATAATAGGGACTCTGGTGGCGTAGTGTCTAAGGCATTTGACTGCTACCCAGAATGCTGGCGGTTCAAACCCAGCAGCCACTGTTCGGAAGGAAGATTGGACAATCTACTTTCCCAGTGATAGCAATTCGGAAACCCCAGGAGGGGTCGCTGTGAGTCAGATCCGACTCAGCAGCTGTGCGCTTGAGTTTTTGTTTGTGTGTGAATAGCATTTGCCTCTGCTGCCTGTACGTCTTGTGCCCCTCTTCCCTGTTGTTGTGCTGGTTGCACAGTTTGTTATATTACCTTTCCCTTTGCCCAAATCAACAATGTCTCTTAACTAGTCAGCCATTTTCCCTCCCTTCCCCTGCCTCCCCTCCTTCCTGTGTAATCCTCCCTTTGATGAGAGAAGGGAGCTGCTAGACAGATGTTTCCCTCCTCCTCCTCCTTCCTGAGGAAGGCCAGTCTGTGCCGCGGCAGGTGAGCAGGCTCCTGTCCAGCACAGAGTGCCAGCAATCGCCCAGGTAGAGGGGCTGCTGCGGTGGCTCCAATAGGCCTTCCTTCAACTGTGAGCCCCCAGGAAGCATCTTTCATGTGTTTAAGCCATTCGTGAGCTCCTCTGTACGCCAAGGAAAGATGTGCCCCAGGGGAGAGGACTTTGTTCTCACAGCATGTGCCAGCTCCCAGAGCACCAGCCCCTGCACCCCTCACCTAGCAGCTCAGAGTCTCCACTGCCCGTTTCCTTTGCACCTGTCCTCACAAGCCCCTCCTCCTTGGGCCCCACAGCCATCCTTCCATGTCACTGCCTCTCAGAAATGTCTGGAGTGGCCTGGTCTCTGCAGGTGGGAGTACTGGGGAGGTGGGGAGGGCCGGGAAGGGGAGAACGCCTGTGCTCATGAGGAGCAGCAGCCAATGCCATGCAGCTCTGGACAGAAGAGCCGTCTAGGCTTCTACACCAAGTGGTGTGGGAGTTAGTGCAGAGGGAAGAGTGCAATGGCTTCTCCTGTAGGACAGGGTGACCGTGACCCAGGGCTGCCCTGTGCCTGTGAGGAAGGAGAGCAGAGAAAGGGCCCTGCAGGGAGTGGGGGTGAGGGGCCTGGCCTATGACCTTCTAGAGGGTCCACTCTGCAGGGACCTGGGAAGGCCATCCACTCCCTTTCCCTGGCTCTCAGGCCAGGAGAGGCCCTGGGCACTACAAGGAGCCCCGGCTGTCAGGGAGAAGTGCTTTAGGCTGGGTTCTATAGAGGAGCACAGCCAGTGAAGCGTGCACACATGTATGCTATGTGCAGGCAGGCATGTACGCATGTGTGTATGTGTATGATGTATGTATGCATGAGTATAAACCAAGCCAAACTCACTGTCATCAAGTCAATTTTTGACTCATAGTGATCCCTCCTTGGGTTTCTGAGGCAGTATCTCTACAGAAGTAGATTGCCCAGTCTTCCATCCAAGGAGTGACTGGTGGGTTTGAACTGCCAGCCTTCTGGTTAGCAGTCAGATGCCTTAAGCCCTGTGCCACCAGAGCTCCCATACATGAATATATATATATATAGATCTATATCTATCTATCTATGTCCCATTGTTGTCAAGTCAATTTCTACTCATAGTGACCCTGTAGGCCAGAATTGTACTGCCCCATAGAGTTTCCAGGGCTGTCAATCTTCATAGAAGCAGACTGCCTCATCTTTCTCCTACAGAGCAGCTGGTGAGTTGAAACTGTTGACCTTCTGGTTAGCATCCAAGCACATACCACTGTGCCACCAGGGCTCCTTATGAACATACATAGGTTTATTTCAAGGAAATGGCTTACAAGCCATGGAGGCTGCAAGTCTCAAATGCATGGGTCAGGCATCAGGCTGGAGGCTTCTTCTGAGTCGTGTGGTTGCAGGTGCTGATGAACCCAAGCTCAGCAGACCAGGTGGCAGGCCGCTGGCTCACCCCCTAATAACTGGATGGAGTGGGGGGGGGGAGAAAGAGCGAGCACTTTCCCAGAACATCCACATACAGTACCTTGGGTGCAGGGCACACCCCCAAGCAAATGCCCCTTAGATCAGATCACAAGATGGGGGATAATTACATAATCCTGAAAATCACGGCCTAGTCAAGTTAGCACATAGCATTATCCATCACACAGCTCCCTCCCCTGCCCCTCCATCTCCTGTCTCCCTAGCAGGCAAGTGTGGGCTGCTCCCAGCCTACAGAAGCAGCAGCCCGCCTGGGAGCAAGTGGTAGCCAGGCGATGGTGGGAGCCCGGAAGATGCCCCATGGCTACTGAGGGCGCACCGGGCATGGTGTGCAGCCTGTGGGTCCTGGCCCTGGTGTCCTCAGCTCTGGCCCTGGAAGGTGAGCAGGAGGGGTGACAGGGGACCCAGGGCCCAAGGGAATGGGTACAGATGAGTGGAGATAGCCAGAGAGGAGGAGGTGGGGAGGGTGGACAACCTGCCACAGGCCTTCCAGGAAAGGCCCCCTGGCAGGCAGCTGTGCCCCTTTGGGCATGCAGTCTGGCAGGCCAGGGAGGGGCAGTATGTCCTCCTTTTGGGTGTGGAACGGACGTGGTCCTGCTGGCTGAGGCTTGGCCACCACGGCCTGTTTCTCTTCCGGCAGAGGTATTGCTGGACACCACCGGGGAGACGGCGGACATTGGCTGGCTTACCTACCCACCAGGTGGGGTGAGTGCTGCCCCACTTTGGGCCCCACTCTGCTCCCTGGAGGGGGTGGGGAGTCAGGAAGGACTCCTGGGTGGAGAGGATGGAACAAGACCCTCTCCCTGGGGAGGGACAGAACATGGCCTCACCCTGCTCACATGGAGTCAGCCTTCTCTCCCACACTGGAAGAGCGCTGCGGCCACACACACACACACACACACACACACACACACGAGCACAAGCTCCCCCAAACCCCTCAGCTCCTGCTTCCGGGGGCCCCCTTCTGCAGTGGGACGAGGTGAGCGTCACGGACGACCAACGGCGCCTGACCCGCACCTTCGAGGCCTGCCACGTGGCTCGGTCCGCGGGCTCAGGGCAGGACAACTGGCTGCAGACGCACTTCGTGGAGCGGCGCGGCGTGCACCGCGCGCACGTCCGCCTACACTTCTCCGTGCGCTCCTGTGCCAGCCTGGCGGTGGGCGGCGGCGCCTGCCGGGAGACCTTCACCCTCTACTACCGCCAGGCCGACGGCCCGGATGACCCCGACGCCGCCGCGGACTGGCATCGCCAGCGCTGGACCAAGGTGGACACGATCGCGGCCGACGAGAGCTTCCCCGCGGCCGCTTCCTCCCAGGCGCGGGCCGAGGCGCCCCGCGCGGGGCTCCAGCTCAACGTAAAGGAGCGCAGCTTCGGGCCGCTCACGCAGCGCGGCTTCTACGTGGCCTTCCAGGACACCGGGGCCTGCCTGGCCCTCGTGTCGGTCCGCCTCTTCTCCTACGCCTGCCCGGCCACGCTCCGTGCCCTCGCCTCCTTTCCTGAGACCCAGGCCAGCGGGGCTGGGGGCGCCTCCCTGGTGGCCGCCATGGGTACCTGTGTGGCTCACGCAGAGCCAGAGGAGGATGGAGTGGGGAGCCAGGCCGGGGGCAGCCCCCCCAGGCTGCACTGCAACGGGGAGGGCAAGTGGATGGTGGCCGTGGGGGGCTGCCGCTGCCAGCCGGGACACCAGCCTGCCCGCGGGGACAAGGCCTGCCAAGGTGAGGCCCACTACCCCTGCGCTTCCTCCAACCCCGGGCTTCTCCCTCAACCCTCAACCCCCACAAGGTCAGCAGCAAGCTACCTTAAGAAAGGACGGAATTCACCGTTTTGTTTTTCTTTGTTTCTCCCAAGTTTATTTTGTAAATTTCACAAGCTTGCGCTCATCCACTCGATTGAAATTTCTCGAGTCTTCTGGAAACTTCAGCAGCGATTACTGAGGGTCCCAGGGCTGTGGAACCGTCTTGGATGGGGCTTCTGCAGCCTAGATGGGGAGGGTTAGTCCAAGGGCAGCAACCAGGACCCATGTACGGAAAGACGGTGGGGGCTTCGGGCCCAGTGAGAGGCGGCAGGAGGCATCCAGGGGGGCGTGCAGACAAGCCAGGCACCTGGCCCGGCCTCAGCCTGCCTGTGGCCACCTCATTTGTTCCATCCCTGGAAATGCAATTCTTTCCACAAAAATGTGTTCAGAAGTAATCCCCGCCTGAGGCCTGGAAAGGGGGCGGAGGCGAGAGACGGTGTTAGCAGGAAGAGAGGGGCAGGCCCTGGGACCAGGCTGCCCAAGAAGCCCGACCAGAGCTCTGGGGGTCAGAGGGTCGAGGCGCGCGCGAGACGCCCCGCTGTCTCCTCCCCCTCTCCAGCCTGCCCAGCCGGATCCTACAAGGCCTCTGCGGGGAACGCGCCCTGCGCTCGGTGCCCCGCCCACAGCCACGCCCCGGACCCCGCAGCCCCAGTGTGTCCCTGCCTCCCGGGCTTCTACCGGGCCGCCTCCGACCCGCCGGAGGGCCCCTGCACCGGTGAGCTCCCCCACCGCAGGGTTGCCGGGACCGTGCGGAGCCTGGGGATGGAGCGGGGAGGACAGGGGCGCTGGTCTGCGATGGGTGTGGCGTCCCTTCTCCTCGGCGGCCTTTGGCCCGACCCTCCGGGGCCACCACCCGCCCCGCCGCCTGCCTTCCTCCCTCCCACAGACCCCCAACTCGCGCCTCCCTGGCCCCCAGGCCCCCCCTCGGCGCCTCGCGAGCTCTGGTTCGAGGTGCAAGGTTCCGCGCTCATGCTGCACTGGCGCCTTCCTCGGGAGCTGGGGGGCCGCGGCGACCTGCTCTTCAACGTCGTGTGCAAGGAGTGCCCCGGCCCCCAGGAGCCCGGCGGGGGCGCCTGTCGCCGCTGCAGGGACGAGGTCTACTTCGACCCCCGCCAGAGGGGCCTGACGGAGAGTCGAGTGCTGGTCGGAGGCCTCCGGGCGCACGTGCCCTACGTGCTGGAAGTGCAGGCGGTCAACGGCGTGTCTGAGCTCAGCCCCGATCCTCCGCCCGCAGCTGCCATCAATGTCACCACCAGCCACGAAGGTGAGCTGCGGGCGTCAGGGCCCCTCTCGAGTCCCAGACCCTCCCCAGCTCCTGGCCTCCCCTGAGGCCCCGCCCCTCCTGGGCTCCCCCAACTCCGCGGAGACGCCACCCCTCCTGCGCCCCCACGCGTCTCTGGAAGCTCCCTTGTTTCCAGAAGCCCCGCCCCTCCCTCGCCCCACCCATCTGCGGAAGCCCCGCCCCTC